AAGATTGACAATAAAGTGATTGACCTAGCCTACATACCCTCAAGATATCAAATTGCAGACGTGATGACAAAGTCCTTAACTCAACTAAAATTTGAAGGTTTCAGAAACAAGCTAGGAATGATCAACATCTATTCACCAGCTTGAGGGGGAGTGTGGGAAAGTGGGCTGGCTGTTAGCGGCCCATGAACCAGTATTTTACCCTAAATCTCCTAGATCATTTAATCATAAATGCTGTAGTCCAGGATCATTTAATCATAAATGCTGTAATAGTCAGATTGAGATAAAATCTGATCATATCTGATTATTATCCTATCCCATGATTCTAGGAGCTATTTAGGGAAACCAAATCAGATCTATAATAATTAGGAATATTCTTCCCCATCCTATAAATCATGTAAATTGCTATTCAGTGAAATATATTGTGAATCATTAAATCATGTAAATTGCTATTCAGTGAAATATATTGTGAATCATTCAGAAACACTAATAGGTACAAATGCTACTCTCCTACTACCAAGACAGTCCACATCACTAAAAACGCTGTGTTTTATGAAGATGATACTTACTACCCTAAATTACCCCTTTAGGAGAAGAACTATGGAGCAGAGAGCCAGAAACATCAAACAACCTGAAACAATACCAGAAATACCAAACAGACCTGAAGCATCAATAATCAGACCTGAAACAATACCAGACATACCAAACAGAATTGAAACATCAACAACCAGCCCTGATACAATACCAGAAATAACAAATAGACCTGAAACATCAACAATCAGACCAGAAACAACATAGCTTCCTAATGAACTCAAAATCTCAATAGAAAACCCACTAGTTAGGACTGAAATGCCTCAAGACAGAATTGAAACATTGCAAAACTCACTTAGAATCTTCAACCAGAGTGAAGCTGAACAAAGCCTAGGAAATCAAGAATTAAATAACATTACAAATGACAGTGATCCTAATGAAGAATCAGCAGAGGGTACTCCCACTATAAGGCATGATCATGACTTTAACTCGAGGATAAATCTTGAAGAATTGGGATGGCCAATCGCTCTAAGAAAGGGGGTCAGGTCTTGCACCCAGTATCCCATCCAAAGGTTCGTGTCTTATGGCAATTTATCATATCAAATGCAAAACTTTATTGCTAATAATGCACCAATAAAAATACCAGAAACTTTCCAACAGGCTATGACTAGCCAGCATTGGAAAAAGGCTGTGGAAGAGGAACTGAGAGCCCTCAAGGAGAACAGGACATGGGATATCACTACATTACCACCAGTAAAAAAGGCAGTGGGATGCAAGTGGGTATTCACTCCAAAGTTCAATCCTGATGGAAGCCTAAACAAATACAAGGCAAGGTTTGTAGCGAAAGGATACACTCAGACCTCCAGAATAGACTAACAGGACACTTTTTTCCCAGTAGCCAAATTCAACTCCATCAAAGTCCTACTCTAGGTGGCAGCGAACCTAGATTGGTCTTTACATCAACTAGATGTGAAGAATGCCTTTTTAAATGGAGACCTAGAGGAGGAAGTATACATGGAAATACCTGAAGGAGTGCAAAGACCTGAAAATGCCACTAAAGTGTGCAAACTCAAAAAATCATTATACCCCAAAAGCTTGGTTTGACAGGTTTGCAAAGGCTTTGAAGAGGATTGGATACTCACAAGGTCAAGCTGATCACACCTTATTTGCAAAACACAAAAACAAAAAGGTCACCATCCTAATTGTCTACGTAGATCACATTGTTATCACAGGGAACGATGAAGAGTTGATAGAATCTCTAAAGAAGGCACTAGCAACTGAATTCCAAGTGAAAGACCTTGGTCAAATGAGACACTTCCTAGGCATGAAAGTAGCCAGAACTGAGAAAGGGATAAATGTATCTCAACAAAAATACGCACTGGACCTCCTCCATGAATCAGGAATGCTTTAAGCTACACCAAGTGACACCCCTGTGGAGGCCTCATGCAACCTAGAAGTCAAGCCAAAGGCCACCCTAGTTGACTCTGAGAAATACAGGAGACTAGTAGGGAAGCTCATCTACTTGACCCATACACGCCCTGATATAAGCTATGCAGTGGGAATAATAAGCCAATTCATGCACCAACCACAAAAACACATGGAGGCAGTGATCACACCATTTGTTGAGTTTTCTATGATTATCCTGGATTGCTCCTTTAGATGTTAGTGCACTTGGCTGAACAACTTCAACAGAGTTGTCAGTAATTAATTTCTTTCGACTCTCTTCAGCACGTACTGTAAAGAATACTTCTCTTAGTGGGGACAAGTTCTCAAGCCCCATAATTCTGCCCAAGAAGGAACTTAAAGATGCGCTTTTCTTCTTTAATGTTTGCATAGAGCACTGCATCTCCAGTGCAACTCCAAGCATGTGGCTCATATGCATCAAGTTGCTGCCATTTAACAATTAATTCAGTGTAGTATTGGGTCACTGAAAGGTTACCTTTCTTGAAATCGTGGAGGAAGCGCTCGATCTCAAGTATGGTAGCCTTGTTTTTTATCACAGCAAACATGTCCCTTGCAACATCCCATACTTCTTTTGCTGTTGAGAAGAAAGAAAAGTGAGTGCTGATTTCGGTGGTCATTGAATTTATCAACCACACCTGCACCATTGAATTTTCTGCTTCCCAAGTGGCATACTTTTGGTCGCTAGTTGTGGGTTTCTTTATAGTACCATTAAGGTATCCATACTTTCTTCTGCCTATGATGAAGAGTCTCACACTAGAGGACTATTGGAGGTAATATTCTCCATTGAGACGATGAATGGTAATGGCCAAAGGAAGGGGCTTGGATGAATTCTAGTTGTTAATTGAACTGATTGTTGTTGCTGCCAAACTAGTGGGGTTTGTTTATGGCTATCTAGGGTTGTTTTCTCCTTCGTTAGGTAGGCCTATACCAAAGGTTATTATTTTGCTCTGATACCATGAAGAACTCTAATGGTTCTGAACTTATATTTTATTCAAATGAGGTGCTGGCTATAAATAGAGTACAGAAACCCTAATAGATGAGAGTGACAAGCTGAAATCCTAGTGATTGACCTAGATCCTAGGAAATACAAATTCAAATAATAAAGATGAAATCAGAATAATATCCCTAGATACTAGATTACATCATAAATTTAAATTTCAAATCAATGCTAATTAGGGTTAGGGTTTTTAGGCCCATGGCCAACATCATCAAATCAAATTGTTGACATAATGAACAAACCCCTAGCTAGAGTCCAATTTGAAAGTCTTCGAAGCAAGCTTAGAATGCTAGATATTTACTCTCCAACCAGAGGAGAAGTGTTAGAGTCGAAGACAGATTTACTAGCTGTTGGAATCACATCCTTAATTCTATGTTCTTTCCTTTTTCTGAATCTAGGATCACGGGCATTAACTATGGGTTGATTACTCAATATCATTACCATTTAATCCAATCAGATTTCCAGCCTTTTGTAGGGAATCCGACCCCTATTTATGTACTTCATCAACCTTTGAATAATACATAGAAAATTACACAGCATTTTGTGATACCTATTATGCATTATCTTCAAGCAAATAGCATAGGATGCCATGATATACTAATGTTCAGAAAGAAAACCAGTAGGCCATACAGAAAAATTGATGCAACATGTCTCTGAATAATTTGAAAGCAAATGCGAGGCTAGTAGGGGGGGGAAACCTTTTAGTTCAATGATTATTTCCAAGCTATTCAAAATTATTAAACGTTCCTTATGGTTCTTACCCTGTATTTTTGAAATCATGTAATTGGCTGTTTTCATAGATCATTAGAACTTATTAAAATAGTAGAAGCGAAAACCATTCAAGAATTGAGTGAAGTGCACTGCAATGAATGAAGTGGCCCATGATTAATCCAAGAATTAAGAAAACCATTCAAGAAAATAAAGTATTCAAAATTTTAAACCTAGAAGTTTAACTTAATTACTCTATTGCTAAGCTAGCAGGAGCCATTATTCATGATAAGATATAATCCTAGGATTCATTATTTCCATGATTCTAGGAGGATTATTGGAGGCCAAATCAGATTCGATCGACCCTATTTTCCTCTATATATGTAATAAAATTCCTTTAAATAAAATATCACTTTCCGATACTCAAAGTTTCGCATGTAAATTGATAAAATTAGGTAGTGAGATGACAAGTAATTGACAAGTTACAAACTCAATAAATCAATACAGCCATGACACCAGTTGGGATGTAGGACAAAGGAAGATTGCTTTTATTTTTACTTTTGAAAAGTTTCCTCAAGTCTTCTTCTTCACAGTTTGTTTACTCAATTTTATTGTTAATATTATAACTCATATAATAAAGAGAAATAACCATATAATAATATTTAAAAGGGACGGGGAAAAAAAAAACTGCCCCATATAACCCAAAATAATTAGGACTACAAACTGAACTTGTTAGAATGTCTTCTTGGTGCCATAGCATGGAGGTCCACTGGTTGCACAAGAACACAACACACATAACGCTCTTCATTTACTATCATCACAAAGGAGTGGTAACAACTAAATGCAAACTATACAGCATAGTCTTCTCCAAATCATTCAATTTACCCAATTAAAAGTTATTGATTCAAAATGAAATTTGTTTCATAAACCCTTTATACAATGTGCATACAAACCAATCAAACTCAGAGACCATAGTTCAAGAAGCAAGGATAAGGATTTATTCCAGAATCAAAAACACAATAAAAGTGTAAAGATAAGGAAAAGTCTTTTACCCCCAACATGGAAAGGTGATAGGTAAGAAACCTCCACCATTCCCACAATAAAGTTCTATTTCTTTTACTCCTTTCACCAGTTTAAAAGACATTAACTTGACATTAGTTGTTTACGAACATTATTAGCTAGATAGAAACCAAATGCCAATAGCAAGTAATCCACTTTTCACAGTATGATGCATACGAACGATGAAGGAAAGTAGGAACTATATTGGAAGATAAGTATTATTTTCCTTCAGAAAACAACACACCTGGGATCCAAACAGAGCTGGTAAAGACAACCTCCCTTGAACAACATGCAAATAAAAATCATTGATTAGTTGCCAAGGCCTTGCATACATAAATTGGTAGCTTTCCCTGTCAAATCCAAAAATAGCCATCACTTTAAAGAAGTTTCAAAAGCAAGCCATCAAATTAATAAGTTACCTTGCAGTCCATCTCACATATTGGCAAGGATTAGTATGGTTATAATGCACATAAGCTTGATTTCGCAGATGTTTCTCCATACAAGTTAAGTGCAAATGACCTAGATGGAGACAGTTAAAAGCCTTTGTGGAAATCGTACTTTGAGATAGCTGACTGAGGAATTTCTATAACTCAATGACTAATCCATCATTTCTCATAGTCATCCAAGTGCTCTGGCTACTTCCCTGACTACTCTGACATCTCCAAGCTTCGATGAGTAGGTTCTCACAACTCTGTTGAAGGGTTCGTTTACCTTCGTCCACACCAAAGTGAAAGTTCAGTGGTCTGGTTCGTTCTTCTTCCCTGCTGCCCAGAGACCGATGACCAGTAATTTTCTTTTACGTGTTTTTTGCAAGAAGGAAAAGATGCACAAAATCTAAATCCAATCCGAGTGGGCTACATAATGTAAGTATGCGTGCATCTATATATACTACCCACTTCTTAATATAAAGAATAAGATATTCTGAGTAACCTTCTAGTTTACATCAATTACATAGACCTCCCCTCTATTTTAAAAACATGCAATTTTTAGTCCATTAGTTAACACTGCTAGGAACATTCTAAAAAGATTCTAAAAATGTTATTTTTAACTGAAATTTATATCAAAATAAGTTTTATTTATTATTTTACCCCTCCTTCTAGTAAATTCCTAAATTATATTTTAGCAATGACACAAATTTTATTCTGTCAAGGCAAACATAAAAGACTTGATTAAAAATTTAACTAATTTTTTTCATAAATATATATACTCTTTGTAACGAAGTTGTGTCTAAAAGTTTTGAATTATAAATTTAAATAATTTATAAAATTCTTAAAACTTATATCATTTAAACTTCACGATAAATAAAAACTATGTATTTGAAATACGTTTTTACAATATAAAAGAAATCAAAGTAAATAACTTCCAATGAATGTGATAAAATGTTAAAATTAAAAAATTTTATGATTTGGATCAAAATTAATAAATTCTATAACATATTAGAAATTTTTAAAAAATATGTATTAGAATTATTTTTTGATTTTATAAAGAACATTTTTTGGAAAATATAAATGTCTAAATAATTATTAAGTTAAAAAGGGGCATTTTGGTCAAAAAAATAATTTAAAGTCAGACCTAACATTCAACTAATGATTTGGGTGGTTGGAAATGAAATCTTAAATTTCAGAGGGAGGTTTGATTCATGCCAAATGATGCTTTCTTGTGCAGTAAGCACTATGCTTGTACCTAGACTGCAGTCCAGCCCAAATGAAAAATCTAATACCCGAATGAGGTTCTGTAGGAAAGCATCTATCTAAGACTTGGGCAACACATTGAGCATCCAGTTTGACATTTTCCATGGATAATGACTTCTCTATACTGCCACCATTTTTGTGCAGATAGTATAAGAAGCTAGACTAATTTTATGGATAGAGAATTTACAGTATTCAAGTTGCCTAAACATAGTAACAATTGATAATTGAGAAGGGCATACCTTGATCAGCTACGGTTGAGGGTTAAACGTTGGAGGAGATAAAAGAGCAAAAACCTGAAAAATGAAGTGAAGAGATAACACGGGGGTGAATACTATTGATCATAAAGAATCAAAAACAAAATCAATCATCTACAAGACAAAGTATGAATTCGATGATTGATGCACTTGAACAAAAATTACTGTGATAGATAAAATAAATTGAATCCAAGAAGAAAACCCAAGCTCCAAATAGAAAGCACATGGATTCGCTGAATTTAAGTCTCTGAATTTCTGTGGTTGGTCAAAACAAGGAAGAAGACAAAATTTTTATAATTTTTTTAAAGAAACTGAAGTAGAAAAGAAGCAACTGAGTACAAGTTCACCAAAACTCCAATATCATAACATCCCTGGATCCAATTTCATTTTTTCCCTGTAAGTAATATTTCAATTCCAAAAAATATATCAAGAACAATGTAGAAATTATTGTAGATGAACATTGAGTAAAAATACCAGGAGGAACTTCTTGTCTGGTTCATATTATTCTCAATCAGAACCTAGGTTACACATATTGAAGTCTGTAGGTTTAGAGAGATCGAGACACTTGATTCTCTCAAGTAAATCAGGACATCAAACTACATAGATTTAACTTGACTATTACTAGATACGTGATAAAATAAAACAAAATAAACAAGATAAAGAAACTAAAATATATGTAACATAATAAGAGTCACAGGGACGCATTTAGCATTCTCACCAGTAGATACCTATATATAACATAAAACTATGTCATGAATAGAGGATGCGTCAAAATGCAGGGGTTTTTATCTAAGCTAGTATTTCTTCTAGTATCCGAGAATATTGCTCTAATGATTGAGAGACTTTTTATCTATTTGAACTGCTGTAATCTCTGATGAAAATAAGTGAATAAGATCAGTTTATTCAACCTTCAAAATATAAAAGAACAAAGTAATCCCAGTATCACAATAAAGCCATATTATCCTAATGCATATTCGTCAAGGAAGCCCATATATCTAGCAAGAGTAAAGGAAAGGACAATTGCGTATGGGGTTGAGATCTCTGCAATATGGAATTATTGGGAGTAGAACCTTCCATGGATAGAAATGCATGTTAAAGTCGAAATGAAAAATCTCAGCTTAGATGGTGCCATGCGTCTTAAAAGAGTTCTAAAACAAGAAACTACTACCTATTTGCTTAATAAATCATGAACTGGAAAAAGAATTGGAAAGAATAGACCACAAATAAGTCAAAAGTCCAAATCTCATCATCCAAAAAAAGATTTCGTCCAAGCTAAAAGGTTTTAAAATCAAGGTACGTTTTGAAGACTTGAGAGGATGAGAAAATAAGGCTTGCAAGAGCATCAAAAAAAAAAAAAAAGTAGAAAGTTCCAGTGCTTCTTACTCAAAAGTTATAACTTTTATCAAAAAAGCTGTAATGTATAAGAGGAAGTTTTGTAAGCAAATAAGAGTATAAAAATAATTCCCAGGTACATCATGTTAAAGACAATTGACCCACCAAAAGATTCAAAGTATTCCAAGATATATAAATCACCAATTTAACTAACAATTTAACTAATTCATGTCAAAATGTCATGTTCATAAAAATATATAGGGATGCATGTAATCTACACCGAGACAAAGTCACTCCCTCTGAAACATTCCTCAAACCTACATCATTTGCCAGAACATAACATTACATTGAGGGATATGGATTAGCGTGGCTGGACTTGCCCAACCCATCCCCTGCTAGGCCACCTTTTCCACATCCAAACAGCCAATTTAGTTTTAGAGACTCATATTTTTGCGCGGTACTTTACAAGAACATAATGAATAAAGAAACATGCATAAAGTTTACAGAATTATTTTACATGTAAAAATCATTCATTCAATTATTATATAAAAGGTCATGCCTAGAAAAGTCTGAAAATTGACTATATATAGAAGCTACAGTAAGTTATACCATTACAGCAAGTAACCACTTAATCCATATTAGAATTGTAATATTACATAATAAAAAAGGAATAACTTTGTGGAATTTAACTGCATAGTATTTGTCTTTGATTCCTGCATAACCTAGCATCTCATGTCTGAAAAGCATTTAAAGGAAAAAATAAAGGAACGGGTTATTTAAGAAATAAGAACTAGGAAGCAAACTATCAAATTCAAGACTCAAGGTCAATTTGCTAGGCGTGTCACCATCAGTATCACTATATGTTGCCATTCGGACGCTAGCCATAGTACATTGCAAGACTATGAAATACGTTTCCTCAAACACAAGAATTCTATCCCACGATCTCGAGTTCCTACGGGGACAGATAATTATAGTTCATCAAACTGCCTTCCTTCCCAATAATAGAAACTGACAGAGATTTATTCATTGACAAAATTACGTCGGACATGCAGAAACTATTGCGCGGACGCATCTCATTAAATACCGAACCTTGAACAAATGAGCTTTAACTAAATCGTATTGCATTGTAAATTCCAGTCACCAAATTAGGAGTGAATTTAGAAAACTAAAAACGGAAGTGTCAAACTCACTTCAAACATTAAGACTTCGAAAAGGTCCGATTTCCATGATTCTTGTATTCTTTCTTCTTCCTCTTGTAGTAGAAACTTATGAAAGATCAAGGATCCTCCTATAATACTTATCTGAAAATTTAGCCTATTGGAAAAAAAAGAAATAAAAATTTGGCCCATTGCTTTCCCGCTTGCAAACTTGTAACATTCATCCCTTTCAACCCTTGACTCAATCCGCATAAAAATATAGGCAAAAACCCACCAACTGAGATTAATTGTAGCATTTCAATCTTTAAATTAAGTCCTTGTTGGGTATTCACTATGCATAAGTTCACTTGAATGATAAACTATACAGCCATTTGAAATTCCTATTCAAGGGATATTTGACAACGCACCTTGGAGCTGCAATCCCGTTTGACGAAGGCCGACGGAAGAAGGATCCGGCAAAGAAGAAGCCTAATGCTGGGGCGGCGAATCAGAGTTACTACACCAGTCTGCAACTCATAAAGTTCGAAGGAGAAGAAGAAGATCGAGGTGGAGGATCAGCCACTACAGCGGAATCTGCCCGCCATCAACGTGCTGGTGGAATCCGGCTGCTCTCCTTTGCCATCCACTCATCCGCTGTCGCAAACGACGACGTTTTCAGCCAAAATAGAAGCATAAACCTGTGAAAAAGGCTGAACGAATCAGAGCGGGGAAATGGCGCAAGAGTGAGTGGGGGAGGGATGAAATAGCCCTGTACAGTGTCCCGGCAGCCGTGCAGTATCCTTATTAGAGCTGGTAATACGGCGGGCCCAACCCGCCAACCCGCCAAAAATGGCGGGCTCGGGCTGGCAAAATGCCAGCCCGCCAAGGTGCGGGCTACTCCAGCCCGCACCGTTTTCAGCCCGCTCCGCCGCGGGCTAGCCCGCCAGTTGGCGGGCTAGCCCGTTTTTTTTTTTTAAATTTTAATTTTTATATAATTTCTAATATGTTATACAACATAATTGGAGGATTTTAACCCCCAAATTTCATATTTACATCTTCTCATCCATGTAATTGCATATGTAATACATACATAAAAGATCTACTTAATTAATTTGGATAAGAAAAATAGTCAAATTAATTATTTAGAAAAAAATATGTGTTAGTTTTTCTAAAATATCTTCTCAAATTATAAATTAATCCTCACATTATTTTATTATAACTCATTACTCAAGTTTAAAACTCCAAATCCAATTTTAACATTACAAACTAAGTCCAAACTTATACAAGTAATAATTTTTTTTTTAAAAAAAAAGTTAGGCGGGCCGGCGGGCTCGGGCTGGCAAAATGCCAGCCCGCCAAAGTGCGGGCTACTTCAGCCCGCACCGCTTTTGGCCCGCACCGCTGCGAGCTGGCCCGTATCCGCACCGCCAGCCCGCATTTCCAGCTCTATCCTTACTCCTTAGCAAATAAAAATTATGAATAAAACATAATTGTTTATGTTTTAACTTATAAGACATTCTACTCCATTCAAAATACAAGCATGAAATCTTTCTAAGGATTTGATTCTTTTTAGAGATCATAATTTGGAGTTGTTTTATCATTTAATGCATTTTTTTATTTTTAATTCTGATTAATTATATGTCTCTCTAATTTTTTATATCTTTCTCGGAAAATTAATATGGCGGTCCTCATAATTTCATCAGATTTTGAATTAAGTCCTTATAGTTTTTTTCTTTTTTATTAAATCCTTATTTTTTGCGCTGTTAATAATGTAAGTCCTTCTGTTAATTTAGCTATTAATTTAAGCTAACATCGTCTTCTTCTCTCTCCATCGCATTGTCTCCGCACTCAGTTCTCTTTCTCCCCGCTACCCATTCATATCCCGTCCCTCTCATCTTTGTCTGTTCTTTCAGTTTCTCCCTCTCCTCTCCAAATCTCTCTCTCCACCATCATCTTCTTTATCTCTTCTTACAAAAGCTTTACTCTTAAATTTCAATTATTTCCTTCTCACAGCTGTAATAGTACCCGCTGCCTCCTTCATTCTAGCTATGCATATGGTGAACAGAATTTTCATGGAAAAGGGGGGAAAAAACAGAGCACTACAGAGTAACAGAGTATGTTGTAGCTGGCCTATATATTTGTTGGAAATTGTGCCCTAGGGGCCAATCATTATGTTATGAACATTGTTGATTTATGAATTTATTAATTACGTTATCATATTATTTGCATGTTTATTGTGATGACTATCCTTGGATAACTCATGATTTATCCTAAATGTCCCTGGTCAGTCATCTATATGGGAGCAGAGATGAAATAAGACCAGTATGACTTTAAAGATATATAGAGATATAAATTAAAGTCATAGGCACATGTAAGAGTACAAGGTGTTGGACTGACCCGCTATGAGAGAGCTGCATGGGTTAAGTCATAAGCTTCTCTCATATACAAACCATGTCACTGTACGTGCCCTTTGACCTGAGATCATCATGGATTCCTACATGAGAAACGCTCAACTTTGACTTAATCAAAAGTCACTTTTGACCGAGTGATCATAAAGACTATGTTCAGGCTTAGTGGTTTTTCATGCGGAGGAATGTGAATGATCAAGATGGAATTTGTCCCTCACATTCATAGAGAGATATTACTGGGCCCCTCGATGAGTGAGTCTGAGAAATGTATGGCCATACTATAATGGAAAGGTAGTTCCATTTCTATACTCAGACTACTCAGGGATCGAGAAAGTAACGGTCATGAATAGGAGGATGACGTTCTTCATGCCTCATCCATGACCAAAATGTCGTGTGACAAAAGGGACGTGATATGGTTATATGAAAAGTTACATCGTTCAACGATCCTCATATGATTTGGGTAGTCGTGATGTCTTGCTAGAGACCGCTTACGACTTGTGAGTCATTATAGTTAATGGTCCACTGCCAACTTCATATGGGCCTACAGGGTCGCACACAAAATAGCCCAACATAAGTTATGATGTCCAGATTCAATGAATAATATAGGGTGGACGTGTATATATATATAAATTCGTATATATATATTATATAAATATAAGAAATATTAACTGTTAGATTTAATTTATAAGGATAAATTAGATCTATGTAAATTAATTCCGTCATATCTTTATTTTGAATTAAATAAATAGGTGAATTAAATCTGTGAGACGGATTTAATATAAACCGTATTTATTTAATTGTTCTCTTATCTAATTAGGCAATATTTGATATTGCATTAATTTCAGAATTAATTTAGGATTGATTTCGAAATTAAATATCATTCATAATATCTATAGCATCCTATATATTTGATATTAGGAGCTAGAGTTTTGTGTGTGTGAGGGCGAAAGCTTGCAGATAAGAAACGGCCAAAAATTAGAGAGAGGAGGACGGATTCTTTGAAAAACCCTAGACGGACAAAGAGGCGCTAGCACGTCGTTCGTGACTAGAGAGCTGTTCGTGTGGATACTAGTAGAGGAAGCCGACCGGAGTTGTCGACTTCGAGCGACAAAGGAGGCGAGCAGAGGCATCCTAAACGGCGGAATCACCGAGCCACCAAGAAATCGAACATCGAAGGTAATGCTTCTTACTACTTGATTTAAACACGATCGGTAGATCCGGGCAAGGGATTGAAATTTTTTAAATTTATTCCATTGCGTGTTTTTCAATTCCCTTCAATATTTTGTTGACATCGACAAATTAATTCCCAAATGCGCTGTGGATCACTGATGGTCATCCAAAATATCCATATATAATATATTTGACCAAGAATTTCTATACGAAAAGTGCTATTTGATTTCCATTCAAACTTACTCAACTCGGCTCCAATTTCATGCTATAAACTCAACAATATTGTGCAAGACATTATACTTTAGTTTTTACTTTTATTCCACCTCTGATCGAAAATGTGGTAGAAAAATAGGGTCTTTAAGAATTCACTTAAAAGTATGTGTATATTACTACAAGAGGAGATAAAGAAGAAGATGAGAAACAATATGAAGTACCAGTGAGAGAAGAGACAAAGAAACTGAGAGAGGAGATAAAGAAGATGATGGTGGGGAAAGGGGACAAGAAGGGGGAGAGTGGAGAGAGAAGCTAGACAGTGCGACCGAGAGAGATAAAGAAAAAACAGTGTTAATTCAATTAACGGCTGAATTAACAGAAAGACTTATAGTATTAACAGAGCAAACAATAAGGATTTAATAAAAAAAAAAAACTATAAGGACCTTATTCAAAATCTGATAAAACTGTAAGGACTATCATATTAATTTTCCCTATCTTTCTTCTACCTATTCTATTTTATCTTATTTCACTCATTCTCTCTCCCATCTATCATCTTTATAAATAAGGGTGTTTTAAAAAAAAAACAAGTTGCATTTTTGTTTACATAGTATTATCTTGACAAATTTTAACTAATTTTTTGAGCTATTTGATTTAATTATTTAATGCTTATATTTTGAATCAAATGGGATTTTAATAAAAATTTTAAAATATGCTTTGATACTCCAAAAAGATAAATAAAAAAATTACTTAACTTTCATAATTTACTTGCCCCATATATTGAATGAATTAATATCTTCATGCAAGTCAATTAATATCTTCATTTAAGTCAGTTGTATCTAATATCTTCGCTCCAACCAAAAAAAAAATTGTATCTAATATCTTCTCTCCAACCAAAAAAAAAAAATTTGCATCTAATATCTTCACTAAACCTTAAAAATATGATTTATAATAATAAAGGGAGTATTACAGTTGACTTAAATGAAGATACTAATTGATTGAGTGCATGGGGCAAATAAATTAGTGAGGTTTAAATAATTTTTTTTAATCTTTTAGGAGTATTAAAAAGTATTTTTTATTTATCAGAATAAATATGTTAATTATTTTCAAATTATTACTAAAATAGTAGGATGTCTTATAAATTAAAAGATAAACCATAAACAAATGTTTTGTCCTTCATTCTTAATTTTTATTATTAAATACACTTGGATGAATTAAATTAGTGACAATAGAGTAAATTTTTTATTTGTTGGTTAGGAACACTGCAAATCACGAGTACAAGCTTATCTACTCCCTCACCCAACCATGCCCCGTTTCCAACTCTAAATCATTTGTGGCAGCAGACAATAGTTGTAACATCCCTTCTTTTTAGTGTACAAGAGATGCCATTAGGAACCATTAAGTGTGCCATTAAGGTTAAGAAATCAAAACTTGAAGATTTATCTTCCTGGGCCACTATTCATATCGTAACTTTAAAATTTTGACAAATTTTGAAAATTCATAACTAAATGTAAAAAAAAAAAAAATCAATATGAAGTGGTTATGGTCTCTATTTAAAGCTCTCTTAATGTATTGTAAGGAGAAAAATACTTGCTAGGCCTTACTTCTGTTACTACATGTGTTCAAATTGAAAGAAAGTTTTACTATGCATTTGGTCAAAACAATATTGTTCAGATTTTTTTGACTTCAAAAATTCATAACTTTAGTACACAATTCCAAAGTTGATGATCTATTACTCTATTTAGAGCTCGAGATGTGTATTATAAGCTTACTAAATCTCGTTGGCAGATTTAATCACTATTTAAGCTATATTACAATCATAGTAATATCGCTTTAAGGGCAATATTTCAACTCTCAAGAATTGTATACTTGGGAATTGTTTTAACTAAACATAACATTAATCATACCTACTGTAACACCTCATGTTTAAATCAATTAACTTTCCTTACGGAAGCATTTGGAATCAC